GAGAGCTCCAAAGCTCTCGCTTTGATGGGCAGCTGGAGCAGCTCCCAGCCCACTTGGCTTTCTTAGGCAGCATCGAAGTGTCTTCCTGCAGCGCCAGTTCCTGGCAGAGCCCTGCCTGCCCGTTGCCTAACCTAGGAGTGTCCTGAAGGGATCGAGTCACTCAGAAATGCCTCCTTGCTGGATGAGGAAACATTCGCTTGGCAGCAGGAAATGTGGAATTTGTAATGGCTTATCCTCCCCGGGGGCACAGCTCGCTGCTCCCCGTGCTGCTGGTAATTACGCCGAAGCCCTGGCTGCTGCTCAGACCGTGCACACGCACGGAGAGCAGGTCGCGGCGCCAAGCACAGTTGCTCAATGCTTATCTCTCGCTGCAGAACAGAGAGTACCAGCTCTGCTTCTGCCAGAGGAGGTGAGCACATCCAAGCCCCAGCCCCAACGACCACAAGTGGGACGAAACCGCAGGGCGAACCGAGGAACACTGAGCGATGGGTTTGCAATGTGCGTGCCTCTCCCAAAAAGTGGCGGTGCTATCCGCCACGTACGGCCTGCTCCCGTTCTTCCCACCTGCCCTCCCGCTTATTGTGGTGGCTTTGTCCCTGCAGGGTGCAGCCCAGCCTCTGTGCTGGGCAATAGTAGTGCCAGGGACACTTAACCCAGCACCAGAAATCCCTCAAGGGCGTGCAATAGCCCCGGGAGATGCTTGGGAAGCCTTTGCAGTTAGTGCAGGGTTTTCTTTGCTTTCCCAGCCTAGCCATTTGAAACCATTTTTCCCTAATCTCTGAGGAAAAAAAATCAGGATGACTAGCAGGGCTATGAAGCAGCTAGGACCAAGAAGTGTCCTTGGGGAGTTAGCAGGCTGGCTGGTTGGCTGCTGAGGGTAAGTGCCGTGTATATGCTGAGTGTTCCTGCTGTACGTGCGTTATTGAAGTGCTGCCCGCAGCTATGGGACTGAGCGCTGCAAGGGCAACATCGCCAGGTGCTTCACCGAAATCAGGCTGGGTTGCTGCAGCTGGTCAGCATTACCCTGCCCAGGGAGCCACGGTGAGCTTTGCAGGCAGCAGTCTGTCTGTTCAGCGGGGCAGAGCCTCAGATGCACCTCACTGTCAGCGGCGGTGTGACGGGATCCTTATCCTTAGGTGACAGTGTCTGCTTTCAGGCCACAAGTGCACGTGCAAGCGTCTCTTGTGGTTTCTATGGTTAGCTATCAAGCCTCTGGTGACCATACGTTATTTCAAGGAGGAACCTCCTTTCTGCAACGCAGCAGCGCTTAATGAGGACTTCCAAATGTGGAGGCGAACAGTGTCAGCTACGGATGGTGTTCCCCAGGAAACCTGTCCACAAGTCACAGAAAGCCCAAGCTCCCTCCCGAAAGACACTGACACTAGGTTGGGTCAGTTGAGGTCTTGTCCAACTGAGCACTGAAAACCTCCATGGATGGAGACTGACATCTTGGCAACTGACATCCTGGTGAATTTTTTTTTGTTTCCCCTGATGGCCCTCTTGAAATCCCCAAGACACAAACTGTGCCTGTTGCCTCTCCTAGTGGTGTCTGTGTCTATAGAGAGGACATACAGAGGCTCCATTGCCTTTGTGAGTCCCCTTCAAGCACGTCTTGGCTGCTGTCATGCCAACCTGAGCCTCTTTGTCTGCACCCAGACAAGCCCGCGCCCTCAGCCTCTCTCCACAGGCCCCTGACATCTTGGTATCCCTCTCCCACACCAGTTTCCCAACACCCCTCTCAAACTGGGGGTTGAGCACTGGACACAACATCCCAGACCATGCCACTGACCACATCAGGGCCCTGAGGGCACCACCCTGTGGTAGACAGTGCCCACCCTGCCCACAGCCCAGGACCCCACTGCCAAGTTGGTGACTGTCTTTTTTGTGTCAAAGGATCTAGAAGCAGAAATACCTTAGAAACAGAGCTCGGAAACCTAGACTGACAGCTATTTTGTTGAAGTTAGAACATATTCCTCTTCAGTCTAAAACATATAGCTTCTTCCTCAGGACCACATTTTCAGAAATGTTGTCTTCTTGTAACCCTTTCTTGGGTTTTGCTTCATGGAGCAAAAATACTCTGCACACTTGAATTTTAGAGGTAAACTCCTCACTTTTTATCACTGGTTTAAACTAATCACACAGTTCCCTCTGTAGCTGTGTCTTGTGGCTGAGAAGAAGGGGGCTGCAGATATGACGTCCTATGGGCAAGTTCCTACCTTAGGTAGCTCACCTCCACACCTCTCAAACCACACAATCTAAGGCTTGCTGCTCCTTTTCTGCAGAAACCAGCTGTGTGACCAACAGCATGAAGATAGCAGCACTGCTACTCGTTTATTCATAACTTGCTGGTTTGTGTGCAGTGGCCAAGGTCAAATCCATTGTACCATTCTTCTTGTCTTTTGAGTCATCAAGACTTCCTTCTTAAGAATCGCACCACAATTTGCGGTGTTTTAATGCAATTAGGGGCACATAGGCAGCCTGGCAATGCCATCAACGTTCAAGGTCTCCGGAGGGTCACAGCAGGCATTGATTTGCATCCCTTGGAATGTCATACACACCAAACCCTGCAGGATAATCTATCTCGCTTATTCATCGTATTCACTTCTACTACATATCACCCTTGTAAACATAATATCCTGTAAGCCATCTTGATAAACACTGTGACTGATAAATGTTGAACTAATCTTCCAAGTTTCAGTGACTCACTGGCAATGACAACAGGGACACTTCTTTGGTTTTGTGCATAGTCCTCTACCTAATCAAGTCAAACTATGCTTTAAGGTTCAGCTGCAACTATCATTTCATTTGGCTTGGTTCCCTGTGAAGGTATACAAGGTGTTATTTATCTTAGAATATAATACTCGTTGACCTTGCTCATGTAGGGGATTTTTCAAACACTTCTCACCATTAGCTCAAGAACGCTTGCTTCAATCTTTGTGTGCAACACTGTGAGAGTTGCTGTTAACCATGCACCTGATTGTTCTATTGTTTGAAGCATGACCCAGCATAGCCCAGCTGGAGGAGAATCTGATCAACAGGATGCTTAGAAAAATAGACTTGTGTTTGACAATGAGGGAAAGGTGCAGGAAAGGCTCATTACAGCCAGTGCTTGAGAGCATAAGGATAACCCACCTTCTGGCCTTGTAAGCAAAGGTCTTATGGTTGGCCGTGATCTTCAGCTACCTTACGAGGTCTACCGACCGTGTTTGAGCTGCTCAGTCTTCAAACATCTCGCTCATCAGTTTCTCTTCACTTTTATTTTGTGTGTGTGCTCTAAATTACCTGTAAATAGAAACTTCCAGTCATTGAGCTTTTTGAGACCATCTCCAGATGCATTTTGGATGACCATGCATGAACTACTTACAAGAAAAATCTTAAAATCATAGAATCATAGAATGGTTTGGGTTGGAAGGGACCTTGAAGATCACCTATTTCCAACCCCCTGCCAAGGGCAAGGATGCCACCCACTAGATCAGGTTGCCCAGGGCCTCATTCAGCCTGGCCTTGAACATCTCCAGGGATGGGACACCATTTGATTGTACAGTGATCGCAGCCCCGGCCCTGTGCTGACAGGTACCACCAGCAGACATGGGCCAAACCCTGTGTGCACAGAAGACGGGAATTCCACCTCCAACATGCACCTTGCTTAGCAATCTTTCCCTCTCACAGGTGTTGGAGCTAAAAACCTGGTTTCCATTCTGGGCATGAAGTATTTATGAAGTCTTAATGTATTCACAGTCCTAGTTTATCTTCTTCTGCCTTAAAAGTATCACAAAAGTAAAACACTGACCATGCTTCCTGCAGATGTACAAACATCTCCTGGACCTCAACATGCAACAATGACTCTATAATAAAGAAATGGCAGTTTTGAACTAATATGCGTTGAGCCAAAGCCGAGGGACAAGGCACAAGTGGATGCACTGCAATGTGCAGCGGGTCCTTTGGCGATCTGTGGGCCAGAAATCTCCCTCACCACTAGAGTCTGGTCCTTCTCTGGCCATTTGCATGAGGGCAGCCACAGCTTACAGCTGGCTGGGAGTCAGTCATGCTTGCAAAGCGACACACCAGGGCAAACAAATCCGGCTCGCAGCCTTCGTTATTTCTCCATCACATGGGACTCCATATGCTTGGAAATATACAGTATATTGGTTGTCACCTCTGCAGACAGATGAGGGAGGATGATGGGCCTTAATTTCCCTGTGCTCCTAGCGGTTGTCTTCTGCTCCAGCGGAGGATTCAGGCATGCAGGAGCCATGGTTGCCCCAGGCTCGCTGCTGTTTCAGCTGTTGGCTGCAGCAACTCCCCTTCTTCTGCCCTGAATCACTGCCAGACCCTATGTCAGGCAGAGTCTGGCCAGTGTTTGCCTTTCTGCTTGTCCAACGCATGTGAATTAAACCAGTTCAAACCCAACCATTGCCAGGTATCAGCCAGCCTAATCAAACACGACACACTTCCTCCTCTGTCTGTCCCCAGATGTGACAAGGCCCTGCTTCCCAAGCGGAGGGAGGTATCCCACTCATCCTAGCCCTGCTGGTACCCAAAAGACTTCTCCATGTTTATGGAGAAAAGACACTGGGAGCACCCTGCTTCCTTTCTTGCCCATTCCTCTTTTTGGAGGGAAAGACTCCTGAGCACACCAGGGGGAAAAGCACCTCTCAGGACGCGGGTGGCAGATGTGAGGAGTCAGGGCACTCTCTTGAAGCAGGGGACATAACGCAAGGGCACGGGGACTTTTTTGCTTTCTGATACAACGAAGGAAAAGGCACAAACCCATCTCCAGTGGCATTTCCACCGGCAAGTCTATTTTTACAATCCTGTTGGGCACGGAGCCAATCTGTCAGTTGCGACAAACCTCGCAGGTTCCAATAATGAGGCTCACACAAACGTGTCCTTGGGTTTTCTGCACATGCCACAACCGTGACTCACCTTCTGCAGTTACAAGAAGACGTGGACAGCATGGCAAGCCCAGAGCAAACAAGTGGTATCACCAGCATGATGCATACATTTTTAGGCATCATTATGATTCTTTATTAGGATTGCAATAAAAAATTACCAAGGATGACAAGCATGTGCGGGCAAGGGAAAGAAGCCAACACCTTAGAAAGGATGATTCTTGACACATCAAATGTATTGACAGGCATACGTTGTCATCCTGGCAACGAAGAGCAATCATCCACCCAAAATTTAGCACGAGTGGGGTACCAATGAACTATTTAATTACATTACACAAATGGAAAACAGTATCATCCAGAGGAGTAAAAAAATGTTGCCTGAGAAACTCCACTTCCACTGTCAGCTTAAATGGGGAGGGAGGTGCGTCAAACATGGACACTCTTAATGAAAACAGCTGTCTGTTCACATGTACTCTCCCAAAATTACAGTTTGGCCTATAGAAACCAGGAGTGGCAATCAAAGTATCAGTGCTGGTCAAGAAGTTAAAGGAAAAAGCAACCTTACAATGAGTAACGTGTCAGGAATGGGAGAGCGGGAATTACGGACATCAGATGTAAATGGCAAGTTAAGAGGTGTGTGTGATAGGGGAACCTGAAGGAATTAATGGAATGCTCCAACATCTTCCAGGCAATGGGAACCTGGGGCAAGCACGGGGCCTCTTCAAGAGGCAGCAAGGAAAATCAGCACCAGCAGAGTAGAAATGTCTGCAGCATTCAGCACAAAATTCTGTTCGCTTTTCCATTTTGGGGTAGTTCATCTTATGGAAAAGTACCAATGCACAGGCACCTTCCATAGGCACCATGTTTACTTTCTGCCTTCCGTCCCTGAATGGGGAAGGCTCCATCACCACAGGGTGTGAAGAGGAGGGGTGGCTGATAAGCCTCTGGCTCCGGTTTCCAGACGACTGACTCAGAACTGATCAGCTCTCTCCCAGCTAGTCGCTGTTCCCACACCTCCACCAGGCACCTGGGAACGGCTGCACGGGCTGAACACGGCAGATGCAATGTGCATGACTTTGCAAATTGATGGAGAAGCATGCAAAGGGGGTTAGCAAGTCTGTAGGTGCCTGGCTGGCTCCAGCGCTGAATTAGGAGAAAGTGCATGGGGTGAGGATCAGATTAGGACCTGGCAGTGGCAACAGCTGAGGTGTTATCCAGGCTGAAAATGGAGAAGGAGGAAAGACCCTCACGTCTCCTTCTTCTCCGCTGGGAGTGGCACTGGTCGGGGCGCAGCGGTGTGCAGCAGAAAGAGGCCGCAGAGTGTCATGGCGAGGCCAACCCACCACACAGGTGTCCACGTCTCCCCAAAGAGAAGCTTGCCCAGGATGGCCTGAAGGAAAAGAAAAAGACAAAGCTTTGCTGGGCTGAGCTGTCCCAAAGCCCTCTGTGCTGTCAGCTCCTCCCCAGGGCTGTGGGGACTTCAGCTGGGGGAGCCTGCCTAGGAAAAACACCACCACTAAAAAATAGCTGCTGATGATGCTGGAGACAACCTACTGCATCACCCAGCCTGGAAGTGCAGCCAGATGGTGGTCCCCAACCAGGATTTTGGTAGCTGCACACATACTTTGTTGCCTTGCCAGCACCTCTCAGGAACCAAGTCTCCACTCCAGTCCATAAAAACACAGCCCCTCTCATTGGAGAGTATTTTGGACAAGGTTGTGAGCTGGCTGCAAAATGTTAGAATACAGAAACAAGATTGACAGCTTGTGAGACAGAAACGCAAGCAGAAAAAAACCTGTGGGTCAAAAATGTTCCTGCTGTCACTTCGAGACAGTGCGTCCTCACACACAGTTAGGGTGGCTTTGGCTTGTCACAGGTGAGATTTCACTAAAGCAAAAGCAAAACAAAACAGTGCTCCCAGCCCAAAGTCTCACTGGCAATTAGAAAATTTCTTTACATGTTACAGCTGCTGCAAGGTATGGTTCTTGGCAGCAGTGCTCTTCATCCTGCACCACCCTTGAAAATATTATAGCCTCTGTGTGAAGAACAGGTACGGCAGCTGAGGGCTGATCTAATTATTTCACAGCTGCCTCTGCAGGGATACTTACATCTCCCTTTGCAGCCAGCATCACCGTTCCCACATCACTGTGCTCCTCTAGGCTCCAGCACCTCAGGAAATGAATTTACTTACCGAAGAGATGAAGTTGGAGGCTGTTGTTGTCACAGAGGCAGTAGCCGAGGAGGAGGAGAGTCGCAGGGCTTTTGCAAAGACCGTCCACATGACTGCATTGCAGGCGCACACCAAGCCAATGCAGCCTACGCGAAGCAGCACAGGCAGCTGCAGGACAAAAGGGGAAAACCCGCTTATTTTTACTGACTGCTTATTCAGCCTCGCTACCTCATGGGCACTTTGGAGCAAAACCAGATGGCATGGGCTTGAAACTGAGTTACAGATGGTATCACATAGAGATGAATACATTAAGCCACAGAAGACAACAGGAGCAGGAAAACAGCTCTGGATGGAGTGTGTCTGAGGCGTCCTGCTGTGAATCCAGCCTCAGACTATAAACTGAGAAGAGCCAGGACAGCACATAGAGGCTGTCATACCAGCAGCCAAAGTCCAGAAAGCTCCCGACCTCGTGAGCTGGTTCACACACAATCCAGTGAAATGCCCTTCAGTCATCACCAGATGTATGGGAAAGGGTCAAATTCACCCCTGCAGAGAGGAACGCAGATGCTGCATGTGCCAGCACTGCGTATGGCCCAGGCTCTGTGTATTTGGGCTGAGTCCTGTGCGGGCCCAAACCACCCGCCCTCACCGCCTCCTGCTGACCTGCCTGCCTGCTGCAGTAAAGGCAGATCGGGGTCCTCTGGGAGGAAAGTGAGAGCTAAGGGGCCTTGTGCCTTATTTTACGTGCTCTCTGGAGAGCAGGTTTACTGAGAGCGCCAGCATTTAATAGGCATGAAACCACCTCTGAACCCTAGGGCCCTCAAAGCCAACGAGGTTCTCACGAGTAAAAGGTCCTTAGGTAACCCGACAAGACATATAACAGCCTCAGACTGGAAAAAGGGCACGGTTTTGCTTAAATAGCCTTTACCATCTGCCATCTCCCCCACATCCACAGTTCCTGCAGCTGTGGCCACCTCCGTAGCCCCTGGGTGTTGTGGCACCAGGGGAGGAAGCCAGAGGCAGAACAACTCCTGCCAACACTCAGGGAGCACAGGGCGATGAGGAACAGCGAGGCTTTGCCTCAGCCCATAGCGATCATGCCTTCACGGCCCATCGCCTCTCTTGGTCAACAAGAGGCCGCGGTGGGATCAGCCTCGAGGCAGACGGAACTGGAGGTGTGAAGCCACCCACAAACACGGCTTGGGTGGCACCTGCCCCGCAGGAAGGGCTGCACTGTGCCCTCCCTGTGCCAGCCACCCTGGCCACCGGGGCCACGAGCCACCTTGTGCTCCTGCCCAGAAGAAGACATCATTAACCATGAGCCAGGGCAGGTCACAGGGCTTTCTGAAGCGGGTTCAGCCTTAAAGGAAAAGGTCATAAAGGAAAACCCCGCTCGACCGCTAGCACAAGCTCTCCAAAGCTAACCCCACCCCACGGAGGTCATGTGTTTGGCCACCTCGGTGGCAAAGGCCTCCAACTTTATCAGGGCAACAGCAAACACTCCCGAACAATTCCCACCTGCAAAGCCCTTTGCGGCACGAGGCCCTTCGCCCCGACACGCCGCCGTCCTGTCAAACCCTGCCTAGAAGGATCACAGGGCCAGCCGTGCCCACACGCTACCCGTCCTTTGAGGAAGAAGCCAGCTGCCATGTTATGGTTCGCCACAGGATGGACTTTGCCTGATGACCTCTGTGGTGGCTCCTTATCCCTGGCCTCACGCTCTGCCTGCGTTGACAGGCGGTGCTACCTTGCACCTGTGTGTGTCCACGTGGGTTGGTAGATTTGGGAGATAGGAAGAAAATTCTCCATGTTCTACCTAAATTCAGTATATTCTGCTCTGGATCAGAAAGAGCCTACTGTGGTTGACTGTTAGGAAAAAGGGCCTTAGGGTATAAAGATCTCGTTACCATCTCCAGCTACCCACCAGAGGGTGTAGAGAAGGTAGAGCCAAGCTCTTCTCCGAGGTTTGTTGTGATTTGACAAGGGGCAGCAAGTCAAGGTTAGAAAAGGTGAAATGTTGATATAATATCGGGAAAAACAAAGGTGACCAAACACTGAAGCAGAGATTATGAGCTCTTTAACCCTGCAGGCATTCAAAACTTGACTGGAGAGGGCTATGAGCAACCAGTTAGCCCTACTGAGCTTGAACCAGAGACCTCTGGAGGTCCTGCCTAACCTGAATTACTCTGTGAGTCTACCAGTAGGTGGCACAAAGCTGGCTCCCACCATCACAGCAGCTATGCTATCTTCACAAGCAACCCACAACCCATTGTTCAACTTCTGTCCCAGAGCCATGGATATTGGCTGCGGCGTGTTCTGGAGGTGGCACAGGCCCAGAAGGAAGGTGTTCCAGAGGAGTCGAGTCCCTCCGCGTCCCAGGCAGAGGAGTGGTCACTGCAGTGGCACACAGGTGGGGAGATGGGAACATCCCCGGGTGCTCCCCACAAGGAAGGACGGAGGTGTAATTCCTCCCCTGCCAAGGGCTCAGCAGAGCCAGCCCAGTGAGTCAAAGATTACTGTTCTGATTGCTTTTCTAAGACGAGATTAATTTCAGTGTACATTTCAGATAATCCAGAAACACTGATGAAATGGCAGAAGTAAATTTAGATGGAATTTGGCAGGGCAGAGGGGAAAGTAAAGAAAAGGTTTTGTTCAAGTGAAATGACCCCTTGTGGTCAGGTCGCTCTCAGGCTGGTCCGCCACAACACATCCGTCTGACCTGGAAAACCATCCTTGTGCTGCTGTCGAGTATCCTGATACTCTACGTCAAAACACTAATATATTTTTTAACATTTGCTGCCACGTTCCGTACTGTACAAGTGATGGCTACTCGCTTGGTCTGTTTTTAGATTCCTGTATTCTTCCTCAAACACAGAACTTGAACCTTTGTTTGTCTGTGGCTGCTCTGCAGAAATGCCTTCGTAGCAAGTGCATAGGAGTCAAGCAAGCAGCAAGCCCTAAGAAATGTTTACATGTGGTCCTGTACAATTTAAGCTACTTGGAAAAGCTGCCATTTACCTGAAACTGTCAGATTTACATCTGGACTGATTAATTTAGTTCATAATCATTGCCTAGAATGGACCTGAAAAGTAACTGGAGGCACCAATTTGTTCAGAAAAACAAAACAGTCATGGAATAGGAGCATGGCTGAGGTTGGAAGGGACCTCTGGAGCTCACCTTGTCCAAGCTCCCAGCTCAAGAAGGGTCAGCTAGAGCTGATGCCCAGGACCATGCTCAAAGGGCTTCTGAATCTCCAAGAGAAGACACCGCAAACCTCTCTGGGCAACCCGTACCAGTGCTCCCTCACCCACGCAGTGCTTCCTGGTGTTCAGAAGGAACCTCCTGTGTTCAGTTCATGCCCATTGCCTTTGGGCACCAGGCACCACTAGAAAAAGCCTGGCTCCATCCTCTCTGTAACCTCCCTTCAGGTGTTCACAGACATTGATGAGATCCCCCTGAGCCTCCTCTTCTTCAGACTGAACAGTCCCAGCTCCCTCTGCCTCTCCTCACAGGAGAGGTGCTCCAGACCCTTCACCAACTTCGTGGCCCTTGGCTGGACCTCCTTCAGTAGCTCCGTGTCTCTCTTGTACTGAGGAGAGTTGGACTTGACACAGCACTCACCAGAGGGGAAGGATCACCCCCCTTGACTTGCTGGCAACACTCATGGACACACTTTCTCATGCCACCTTCTAAAAAGATCACATTTAATTCCACGCTCTGCTTTTCTGTCAGTGCAGAGCAACATCTTTTGGGGAGAGATCAGAGAGAGTAACAGGATTTAAAATTTTTCATTTCCCTTCCCTATATCATTTTGATATATCAGAAAGGATCTACAGGATGGGTGAGTATGGAGGGGTTATTATTATTATTATTTTTAACCATCTCCAATAAACACACAAGTTGATTTTCTTTTATCCTGACACAGGGCTGGATTATTTATTTATTTTTTTTTCAGATATATTTTGTGTTCTGGGCTCTCCTTTGAATTTCAAGTCCAAATGTACACTTGCCACATGAATACCAACCCCTGCTCTTTGCCTGGTCTTCTCAGTTTGTTTTCAGGATCCGCTCCTGCTGCCTACCTCAGCACCTCTCAAAACCCAGCACATTTTGTGCATCTCCACCTTCACCGTGCCTATCCTAGAGCTCACCTCGTGCAGGCAAGGACACCGAACACTTTTTAAGGTGAAAGGCCAGCAGCCCGACCTGACCTTTCGCACAGTGTGGTTTGAGAAACCCCGCCGTGATTCAGCTCATCCTTGTGCACAGCCAAGTGAGCACATCGGATGAGCCAAGCTGACTGCTCCACCTCCTCACAGCTCCTGCCACGAGTGGAAAAGGCTGCACAGAGAAGGCTCCCCAGTGCATTCCCACCCTAGCAGCCTTGCTCTTCATTCCTCCAGCCATCCTTCCCGCAGCTCTCCAGCACCAGCCCCGCATTTCCCATCCAAGGCATGGGGCAGGGCAGCCCCAGCAAGCCCTGCCGGCAGGGAGGGGCCTAGCGGCGGCCATTTCGCCCTGCTTTTCCTTCCTTTTTTCCTTCCTTCCTTCCTGCTGCCTTACCCAGCCTCCGGCGCCCCACAGGGTACGCGCCCCCAGCGCCAGCTTCGCCGCCGCCGCCGCCGCCGCCCCCAGCAGCCCCGCGGCCGCCGCCGCCACCGCCGCCCGCATGGCGGCCCCGGGAGGAGCTGAGGGGGGAAGGGGAAGGGAAGGGGAAGGGAAGGGAAAGGGCTGGGCTCTGCGCTGCTCCGGGGCGCACGGAGGTGGTGTCTGCGAGGGTACAGCGTGAGGAGCGGCTGGGGGAGCTGGGAGGGTTTTAGTCTGAGGGAGAGGAGGCTCAGGGGAGGATTTATTGATCTCCGCAGGTACCTGAAAGGAGGGTGTGGGGAGCTGGGGTCGGCATCTTCTCGTAGATAACTACTGATAGGACCAGAGGGAATGGCCTCAAGTTGCACCAGGGGAGGTTTAGGTTGGTAATTAGGAGACATTTCTCCTCAGCAAGAGCAGTCAGGCACTGGGACGGGTTGCCCAGGGAGGTGGTGGAGTCACCGTCCCTGGGGGTGTTCAAGGAAAGGTTGGACGTGGTGCCTAAGGACATGGGTGACGGTAGTAGGGAGATTGTTGGACCAGATGATGTTGAAGGTCTTTTCTAACCCTAAAGCAGTCGGAGGTCAATGCCCCAGGACACACAGTTGGGCTGAGGCAGGTTGGGTATTGCCATCTTCTAGGGTTGCAGCAAACACCCCCAGGGCACAGGTTTGAGGGCCTCACTCTGCTCTCCAGCAGATTACAAGCACTCTTGATTCTAACGTGCTGCTAGAACAGTAACTATATAATATATAGTTACTACTATATACTATAACAATATACATCAGAGATTTGTGTTCTGCTAATAAGTTTGTTATTTGCTACAGTTCCCTATCTTGACTGTGATTAAGGCAGTTTATACTGTATTCCTAAAATGTTTTGCATAGCTTCAGACTATTTCTTACCATTTTTATCTTCTGTTTGATAAGAAAAGTGTTGCAAAACACTTTTATATAAGCACTGTAGGATATGCACTGGAGAAAAAGTTTTTTGAAAGCATTTTAATTTCAAATAGAGAAAGAAGAATACAAAAGCCAAAATATATTTACAGTTTTATTTACAAATCTAGTATGGTCATATTTCTCCTTTATTGAACAAACTGCATATAATTTGCATTTTGAAAATGAGTAAGTATTAACAGTTATTAAATTTGACAAGTTCATTTTAACTCACTACAAACATCCCTCCTTTAAGATAATAAAAAAATCAAACAAATCATGCCTTTAAAAATTCAGCTCAGGTAGAAAAAGTAGCATTTCAGAAGATTTCAGCAGGGACCTGAATAAAAGCATGGAAGGAATAAGGAGTCCTAGTATGTTTCCAGAGAGAAAGCTTTTCCCTGACAAAGTACAAAAAATTCAGGACATATCTTGCAGCACCTATACAAAAATCACATTTTAAAGAGTTACAGAACCCCTTCAATAGGGAGGTATTAATATGTCGATGAAAGCTGCCCACTTAGTTAAGTAAAGTTCTTCACTAAAAGTTGTTACTAGTAAAAAAAAAAAAATAAAAAAAATTGATTGTTCTGAGTACAGCAGACAACATTCAACAGCAAGAGTGAAGTTTGACAACTGGCTTTTGCGTATGCTGTACACTTGAAACACAGAGTTTTGCAGGTTTTTGTGTCATTATAGCTGATCTATATGATATCTACATGTGAAATCTTTTAGTTTCTTTCAAGAAAGCATTTTCAACTCGTAGTTTCTCAGTCTCCTGTAAAACAGAAAAAAAGATATTTAGAATTTTTCATATTTGTAAGTAAATGATAACTGTCCAAGTGTTTTGAACACTTGAGGAAGTAAAAAGGTAATTCTTGTTTGGGGGACCGTGAAGAGGCAGACCCGCCATGACCTACACAGCTGTATAAGTTCAGAGGTGTCTATTACTCTGAAACAGAAGAGCAAGAATGTTTTGGAAAGTTTTGAACTTTGCTGTCCTCTACATCACATCATTACTCCATCTGTACTGTACTCTCTGGAACTTACCTCAGTAAGTTTAGCGTAATCTTTCTTCAGTTTCACAAGATACTGAATCTTCTGGTTTAGATTTTGATGACCGAGTAATTTCCCATTTTCCTCAGCAAGAGTGTTAACTTGCTTCCTCAGCAAGTCCATTTCCTGTAATTAGTAAATACATAGTGTACATCTTGCTTTAGACTCTCCTTCCCTTTTCGGACAAAATATCTCCTTTAGATCTGCTTAACATAGTAACGTTCAACTTTGTTGTAACATATGATGCAAGAGTTAGCTGTCCAGGCAACACATCTTTGTTGAATGTCTCCTTGGGTGCTACACTAGATGCCTCTTAAGGTCAAATGCATCATTTGATTTGTACTACAAACTTTAACAGAGTTCTGTACCCAGAGTTCCACTGGTGTTTCACCAGTGCACCAGTAAACATTACAAATATAACTAATCTGTTACACAAAACATTTTCAGAGTCAGTCTGTGATTGCTAATTCAATTCTAATTCATAATATTATTGAATTAGCAACAGCTCTACATCTACTGAATAAGATTTTACCATAAAAGACAAAAATTACATATAACCTTTCCAATTCTGTCTCTCTCTTCATACGTTTCCTCCAGTTTTGATCTAATTTCTTCTTTTTCATTAAATGCTTTCAGCTCCAAAGCTCTAGTTCGTTCCATCTCCTGTGTCATTTCAAGACAAATATTCTCCCTGATTCTGAGAGCATTTTTGGTCTCTTCTAATCTGCCAATAAAAAAAGCATCACAAAATATTGAAAAACCAACATAAATGGCATACAAGAGAAATACTATGTCAGTGTCAGACACAGAAGCAGACTTTTAAAGACATTCTTTTGACAGAATTTATTTTCCCTAGAACTCAGTGCGAGCAGAAGGAAAAATTACATCTACTTCACAACTCTTGTGTTTGATACTCTCTCTTAAACAAGGCCATTTTGGAGCTGACCTTTTTGGGAAGCGTGCTGTTTTTAATCCAGGATGAACAACTCCACTCACGAAACAGAAAATAGAATCAGACTACGGTATTCACTTAAGGCATTTAAATTTGCCCAGTGAACTCTGTTGTAGTTCAAGTTTCCCCTAAACTGCTTGTTTGTATGTAGCTTCTCCCTAATGCCATTTTGCTCAGAAACATCTCTGAACACCACAGAGATGTCCAAGTCCATCTGGCCTAATAACAGAATAAGGCCTGTCCCTTTGAGTAGATGTCTTGTCTGCTGAAAATATTTTAATTCTATCAGTCTCACAGAATATTACAATCCTTATCAAACTTAGCAGCACGTCTACTGATATGAACAACTGTAGTTTTGCATTCAAGTATTGTATAAATTATAATATTTAGTGTCATCAGTTTTGTTTCACCAAAGCCTGATGTTTAAGGCCAACTCTATGAAAATAGTATTCTTTACTATGTTTGTCAAAACATTTCCTCAATGACAAAAGGAATCTGTTTTTCCTCTCTATACGTTATTTGCTTGTATAAGACACTGTAATGCTACCACAAAGCACGTTTCAAAGAGCAGACAAGTATGAAAAAGCAATGGATTGAATAGTAAAATAACCCCTGCTCAAGACTAGGGCTTCAGTAAAAATTAGTATGAATTACTTTTGAAATGACTGTGTTCATAAAAATAATCTTCATCCTAAAAGAAGTTATTAACATAGAAAGCACACCTGTTAAATGGCAATAACCCAAATAATTAAGAGATTCAGCCACTATGAGTCCCTGAAGCAATACAGATTAGGCTAAGAACAACAGGAACAGCATCTTCAAGCTAATTTAATTCTTTATTTCCTGACTACTGTCCATCCTTGGTGTGGATCATGAATTTCTAGGACTCTTTACATGTCAGTGCAAATACAGTCTAGAAATACTTTCATAAGTAGTTTTCCCTATTCAAGCTGAAATTAAAAAAACAAACTCAACAAACAGCATAAAAACAATTAAATGAAGTTTATAATTAAGTATTTACAATGCTAGTAAAGAAGTGAACAGTATTTCAATTTCATTTGAAAAGGAACTAATGTGCTTAGAAGTCATCACATACAGAAGTATTCAAAACCCTACAGTGTAGATCATTTTGAACAATTCAAAATTAAGTTCCTTCTAATCAAAGCTTTTCCTATGGTTCCACCTATTTCAGAGTATTCCCTGATACATTGTTAACCTTTCAGAAAATGTAGTAACAGGTGCTACCACCACCTACTGATGAAAAGGAGTAAAAACTTGACATATTTTGTAGAAGTGTTAACATTTCTAAAATGTATCTTTTATAATTTCGGATCTTGGACTTCTATTCCTTAAATATAACATTTGGTATTAATGAGTTTAATACAAGTCTCCAGTTCAATAAGCAATATTAAACTTACTCTGCCTTCATTTTCAGCATCTCCTCCATTGCTTTATTCTGTAAAAGTTCAAAATATTAGTTACATTCATAATACTTAAAGCATGTGTATCTATTTAAAATGATTTGTTATTTACCTGATGCTAAGTATCTAATTCCAAAAACTATCAAAATCATCCTACCACCAAATAATTCACATCTCTAACATTCATTATAAATTCATCTCCTGGCTGTATGCACACATTTCCATTTCATGCTAGCACAAATGACCCACAGCAATGTCTGTGCTCAATCATACGCAGCATAGCTCTAACAGGCGGTTCCTCTGCCGGGGAGATCCATGTCAACCTCTACTGTGACATTAGCTTCCCTTTGGCAGAGCCTTGCTGTTAGCAAATGACACAATCTTCACTTTCCAACTTCAGTGAGATGAGTCAGATTTAGTGACCTGAATCTGCATTATCTTATTGTGCAATCTGACACTCAGTTTACTGGAGTTAGACCAAGACAGAAAACTTATGAGGCGAGTACCAGGGTCTGTATCTGTTAGAATTCACTAAAAATCATTGTTTGTTTTACTGGCATGAAATAGAAGAAAACATGATGAGTAATATTTCACAACAGGGAAACAGCAACTACTACATGAAAAGGGTAATGTACCTTGGCCCGTCGTTCTTCAGCAATCTCCTCCTCTTTCTCTCTGAGTTGCTGAACATCAGTATGTTTCTGATCACTGGGAAGTACAAGAATGAGAAAAGATTTTCACAAACACAGGAAATCAGTGGAAAAAAC